AAAACAAAACGACACCACTTCGCGCGGGGCTCGGACACTTGGGCACCGTGTGCACGCATATATATCGGGTTTGTATACTCGCGGCGTAAGAGTACGTGTGTGTGTGCGTGTGTCGTCGCAGTCGTCGCAGTCGCGCGCAGTCGTCTCGTAGTCGTGTCGTCGTCGGAACGCACGCGGCGTGCTACTACCGCTGGCCGACCGGGAATGAAAGTGAGCGCGTGTTGCGGCCGCAGAGTCTCCCCGACGCGCGCAATCCGTCCGTGCGTGCGTGCGCCGGCCCGTGCGAGTGCGCGCGTCCCGTTCGGTGCTAGCGTGCGCGTGTGTTGGTTACCGTCGGTTGCTATTCTGCGCGCGACCGTGTGCGTTCGCGGTGCGCTTGTGTGCGCGCGCGCGCCCCCCTCCCCCTCCCCGTTCCGCCCCCGACGTTCGGTCCGCCCGCCGACGCACCGAGCCGGCTGTGCGCCGCCGCCGCCCGTGGCCTTGTCCTTGAAAAGGCTTCTGAACCCTGACCGACGGCTGGCGGACCGGGCGGGGGCGCGAGGTGTCCGCCGTGCGCGCTCGCGCTTGCGCTCTCTTCCCCTTCGCCACCGCCGCCGACGGTCCACGGCTGCTCCTCGCGCCCGTCCGCGCGCTTGCCCCCACACGCCCGTTCCGCACCCCGTCACGACGCGCGCGCTCTAGCCGGCCGCGATAACGATGATGATAATAATAACAACAACGTACACAGTATACGCTCGTGAACTTGGCAGTCGATCTTCAGCGTCCCCTCCAACGGCATTCGGCTACGGCCACCGCTCGGGGACGGCTCATTGTCCTCCCGCCCCGCCCGCCCCCTCGGACGACCACGGTTTTCTGATGTCACGCGTGACCATTATTATTATGATTAGTTTTTGTTTGGTTTTTTTTTTTTTTTTCGCGGTTACATTCCGTCCGAAGACCGCGAAACGCCGTCCGCACTCACCCGCCGGATCCCGAGAACGTTCCTTTCGGTTTCCTTCCTCTACCGGCTGGTCACGTAGGTGCGCATTTATACATGTTTTCAGCAGTCCTTTTTCGGTTTCGTAAAGAAATAACTCGCGTCCGTAACACATATTAATAAAATGATTATGATGAATTTGCTCGGGCAAGAAGATCGAATTTTATTTCACTTCCAAATAATAGAATATTCACCAACGTCTTATTCAAAACTCGTGTGTTTAAACTTTTTTTTTTTTACACCTTATAGTAATATATCGTGTATTTATATCTATATAAATATATATTCTGTAACTTTAGTTTAATCCGAAATCATTGGCTAAATACGAGCAAAAGTACAAACACACATTTTATATTTTATAAAACAAATTAGGTATTGCATTGAACATTAATCATATGTTTTTATGTACAATTATTATGATATAATATTATATGCGATAACAAATATAATTCGTTTTTACGCAAACCGATAGTACCGTTTTGGTTCGATTTGATATTGTTTTTCGATATTAGTCGAGTACACTAGCCTTCGATAAAATTAATTATTTATTTATTATTATTAGTATGAGTTTTATTTATGACAAACCACTCTTATTGAGTTGACCAAGTCGAGGACATGCCTTTAGGACAAGACGACGGGCGATTATATAAAGATAGAACCAAAAAAAAGGAATGAATGGAATAAGATTTACAATTATTTAGAGAAAGATTACGAAAACAAATCTGTTCAACAATGAAATAAAATCGTGATGAAGACAGTAAACGGAAACTTATTTTTCATCGCTCCGACATATTAGACCTAATGTGGAACTAGTGTCCGATATCATCGAATTTGCCTCCGATAAAATCGGTGTGTGTGTATGTGTATGTGTGTGTGTGTGTGTGTGTGTGAAAACAACCTTACTGATTTCGTGCAAAATTCGTTATTATCCTTCCCATTCGGCCATCACTGAAACAACGGTGCATCTTCGTCGCCTGTTGCAGTTGTCGACTGTTGCAACATTATTACCACTAATATTGTGACCAATTGTTTCTACTACGCCATTCACATTGACGACGAGAATCCGAATCGTCGCGATCCGTCTCGTTCCGATCACAAAAGCTATTGCTAGCGCTCGGGTTCACAATAAATGTTTTCCATCATTTAGCTCGTATACGGAGAAAGGGTTTTAGGAATACACGCAGTACACGGGATGGTTACCAATGATTGACCGATCGTCGATCATTATTTGACTTTCGTGCAGGGTGCTCCGTATATTTACATTTATTATTATAATTTCGTTAATATTTTACATTACACTGGATCGCATATACGGTTACGCCTTCATACCGGTACATTAATAATTCATATTATATTACGTTATATTTTCATATTATATGCGAAATAAGTTTTTTATATAACATGGCTTGTTTTTTGTTTTTATTTTTTTCTGTAACCGAGACGTTTTCATCGACAACGATAATGGTATTGATATAGACGCGCGCACGTGTAGTTTAATTATTCGTAATGTAACTATTATCTGAAGTTTTCAATAATTCGCTGCGGAATTTAATTAAACATAGATACTGCTTTTTATTTGTACATTGTTCGAATGATGTTCGTATGGGATATGAATTATATGTATGGAGTGCGTATGATCTGTGGAGAAAATCCTTTCCTTAGATCATATTAAAGGAGAGGGGGTGACATGTGTTCACATTTATCTATTTTCCTAATGTGATATAAATAATTAGTAATAACAATTCGAAGAAAGAAAAATGCCATGTGGGAGACGACTATCCCAATAGCGCTCCTGAGGATGCTTTTGCGCGAAGGCGATCGTAACGGAAAAAAAACGTAATTCCGCAATAACGTAAAGTACAAAACGTAGTACGTTGTTTTAGCATCGCGATCATTCCTATATTCTCGTTAGCGTCGGGGGTGTATGTTTTTAAATTTTTTATTATTATTTCATTTAACACACTTTGACTTCACTGACCGAATGCCCCCGTAACACGGGTAGGCATGTCATATACAGTTTAACAATTCGTGTACGACCAGTATATTATAGATATTATTATAACGTTGTGTGCGCACGTGTGTAGTGCGCTGCGGCCTTGAGTGTTCGAAATTTTAAAAAACGAAAAGAAAATATATTTATAGCCCGTTGAAATCAAAAACTGAAGGTTGATGAATTCTGGAAGACAATAAATGTTTGTACTACTTTCACTCGAGCGCTCTTCAACGACTCCGGTTATGATCGCATTCACAAGAGTGTTTCGGTCATTTTTCCTTCAATGAACTCACTCGATCCACTCCCTCTGCTCCGAATATCCGTCTCCCACACGGCATAATCTCCCTTTTTCTCTCCTCCACCGCTCACGATCTACTACATTAGACTCTCACATAATCACTCTCTCTCTCTCTCTCTCTCTCTCTCTCTGAACTTCCCATCCCTTCTCTTTTCCCGTTGTATTCACGTCGTGCACAACCATCATACTTTGGAAGCTGTATATTAAAAATGTAAATATTGTTTTTTGATGTACACGTTGTTATTATGATTTAGGTTGTTCAGCCATCAAATGCCATTACAAATCGCGTTCAACAGTCGCATTTGCACGTGAATTTATCACAATTCATTATAACGCAATGTTCATTAGAACTTCTGTTCAAAATATTTTCATTTACTAGTATATTATATACCCAACGAGTTTTTTATTTCATCAAACATAATTATAATTATGATATCGAAGTCATACAATATAAATCATTATGAAAAAAAAAAAAAAACATCATTTAATCGCATCGTTTTACCGACAAGACAGTTGTGTACACACGGTTTATTCGACCGCGGCAGAACGCTTGACGATCGATTTAACTTAGATAAACGCAAATACAAGAATTTATACAGACATAGTTATGCCGACGGTGAACGGTGATTGATCTCAACAAAATATTGAAAACATCGTTTTATCAGGACAGAAAAATAAATAATATTCATTGAATCGTGATTTACAAAACTCCCTGCCACTTCTGCAGTGCATGCGTACATCACACGACTGTGTATGTGTATTATTAGTATAATTAAACCATGCAGTATACTATACTATACACGAGATTTATTTTTACAAAATCGGTTGCTGTAAGTAAGCTCTTTCCGAGTGGCGGTAAGTTCACCGTGTATTTCGAGTGCGTTCTTTTTTCGGTGTCTATGGTCGCTCGGTAAAATGTCCCCACACCCTCGTGTCTGCGCGCACCAGTGGCACAAGAGTTATTTATAAAGACGAAACAATTTCAGCCCCCCAAACAAATATATGTGTGACAGTCGATCGGTTCGTTTGGAACTATTCCTAGGTCATCACGTGCCAAGACACGGAGTAATTTGTTTAAAAATAAAAGGAACGAACCTCAACAGACCCTCGGTTGAAAAGGGACACGGGGGGGGGGGGGAGGACTACGATAATTTAGTCCTGCGACGCACCGATTCGGTTACACGTACTATGTACTGCAACAGCAGCTTTATACACGTAAGTATTACATTGCACAGCTTGTGTGTTATAGTTGTTACGGATGATATACTGACCGGAAAAACTATATAGACCGGAATGTACGATCGGACGACGAGGAAAAGGTTTTAATTATAATGTTAAGATGTTGATAAATTACTAGAGATAAAAATGCATTTACGTATAAAATATACGAGTATAATACAAGAAACAGTAGATCACGACGAGCGTATTCGTATAGGCCGAAAAAAAAAATTAAAATTACATCAATAATGTACATATTATACAACAATATTTTGCACATGTCATATAGGTACAACCGTGAACTTAGAAGGAAATTAAAATGGAGATTAAAACTCGAAACAGGTTAAACTAGTTGGAAAAATAGTCGATAATCAATTACGTGGTGATCGGTGTCAACGATTGGTGATTTAAGTGTTAATAACGTAAATGTAAACTGTAATTCAATATTGTATAACTATGGTACAAACACTTCTTGTTAAATAACCATATGATTCTAAAA